CTGTCTCTCTTAATAGGAAATGATGCAGTTGGTTTTTTGTGTTGCTTTGTTTTATTGTTTTGATAGGCAGAGGGAGGTGTTCTGTGGTGGTGATAGTAGTATATGCATTCCTTTTTGAATTTAGGTTTCTGCTTCTGGGGACTTCTTTCAGATATGTATATGTATTTGTATCTTTCATTTTAAACAAAATAATTTTAATCATTACAGATTTTAAAGTATCCTGCTTGTACTTTAAGATGAGTTGAAGCAATGGCCTGTTCCCATATAACACAAATGCAAGGTCTTGCTGTTTGGGACCCCTTTGGGAATGAAAATAAATAAATAAAATTAATTAAAAATAGCAGAGCCTTTGGCATTGCACATTTAACTTGTTTGGAGACTAATTGAGAAGCCATCTACTGCTACCCCCCACCCCCAGCCAAAGGTTTTGAAATTCTGCCTCTGTCAAATTATATCAGAAAGAAAATTAGGATCATAGGGTTTAGAGTTAGAAAGCACCTTAGAGGATATCTAGTCCTAGAGCAGGAAAGATGCCGAATAGGTAACTAAAGGAACTGCATTTGAATGTTGCCTCTACTATTTACAAACCCTGTGGCCTTGGACAAAGGACTTAGCCTCTCTGAGTGCCTATTTGTTCATGTATAAAAATGAGGCATTTGGGCTCTGAAATCTGTCTCATGAATGATATCGCTTTACAGATAGGGAAATTTATTGGCAGAGCTAAGATTTGTATCTAAGACTTTTGGCTCCAGATTTAGTGTTTCTTACCCTGAACTGAACATTTCTAAATAAATTCTCATGATAGGTCAGTTTCACTTAACTGTTACAGAACTGTGTAAAGGTCTTTTGAGTTCCAAAATAGAAATGAATGAAATTCATGTTAGCGTGAGATTTGTTTTGAGAGCATTGTGCTTGGTCCTGGGAAAAAACAAGAAAGTGAGAGACAGCCTCTTGATTCACAGTGGGTAATGATAATAAGAGCTGACCCTTCTATGACAAGTAAAGGTGGCTTCCATACTTTTCTTAAAACTAACGGATTCTGGACGGAGCTAGCCAGGCCCAACCCTTCTTGCCAGCTGTGTGATTGCAGCAAGCTGCTCCATCTCTCTGACCCTAAATGGGGACAACGATGGGAGCACCACCAAACTCCCAGGTGGTTGTCAATTTAAAACTGCTATTCAAATGTGGAAAGTTAACATTATATTAAAATAATCAACATAGCATCTCTGAAACAAATATACAAGATGTGTAGCATCTGTAACGTTTAAAAAATGTTTATATAACATTTTAAGGTTTGCAAAGTTCTTTGTGTCCATTATCTCAGTTGACCTTCACAACAGCCCTCTAAGTTAAGTGCCACAGCTGCTGTTGTCTCAGTTTTACATAGGATGAATCAGATGCTAAATGATTTACTTAGGGTTTCGCAGCTAATAAACATTAGAGGTAGGATTTGAACTAAGATTCAGCATGCTCTTCTACCACCCCACCTATTTATAGTTGCCTATAAATATTTCCAGGTTCTCAATTTGAATATTGCCTCTTTTCTACTTTTATGTTCTCTGGGCTAATCAAAGGTACATTCAGAGAGACTGGTCTAACAGGCTGGAAAATTCACTGGGAATAATAATATAGCTTACATTTATGTTTATAGTTTATAAGTTATTTTCCTTAAAGCATTCCCACCCTAAATCCACCCCTGCCCTTTTCAGATGAATTAACCAAAACTCTGCAAATATGGAGTGATTTATTTGCCCAAGAACACATAGTTAGTGGCAGACTTGATCTTTTAGCTCCCTTCATATGAAGAGGTGGATCTTCTCCCTGCTGAGGCAAACCCCTCTATATGCACAAGTGGTCCCATTCCATCCCTTCTTCTACTGGCTGCTTCCCTAGTGCCTACAAACATGCCTATGTCTCCCTTATCTCAAAAAAGACTCAGTTGATCCATCCATCCCTGCTGGCTATCATCTTGTGTCCCTCCTCCCTTTTGTGGTGAAACTCCTTAAAAGAGACTGTGTACAATATGTACCTCCGCTTTCTTTTTCTTTCACTCTCTTTTTCACTCTCTACAGTCTGGCTTCTGACTTCTTCCTTCAACCAAAACTTCTCTTACTAATCACCTGTTCATTGCCAAATCCAGTGGCCTTTTCTCAATCCTCATCCTTCTTGATCTCTCTTCAGCCTTTGACTATATAATATCTCACCTTTTTCTCCTGGATACTCTTCTTTCCAGGTTTTTGCAGTACTGTTCTCCAGTTTCTCTTTCTAGTTGTCTGATGTTTTCTTTTCAGTCTTCTTTGCTATATCTTCATCCCAGTCAGTCCTGACAACTGTGCTCTGTCCTGAGCCCTTTCCCTGTCTTCTGTTTTACTTGGTGGTCTCAGCAATTTGTGGTTTCAGTTATCATCTGTATAGAGACAACTCTCAGATCTACTTGTCCAGTTATCATCTGTATAGAGACGACTCTCAGATCTACTTGTCCAGGCTCAGCCTTTCTTCCAACCCCCAGGCTCTTATCTCTAATTATCTATTAGACATTTCAAACTGTATATCCTGATATACATCTTAAACTAACATGTCCTAAACCAAACTCATTATCTTACTCCCCAGACTCTACCCTCCTCTATACTTTCTTATTATGGTTTAGGCTACTACCATCCTTCCATTTACCCAGACTTGAAATCTGGGTGTCATCTTTACCTCCTCACTCTCTTCTCCCATCTTTATAACATCTCTCATACTCCCCCTTCTTTCTTCTGACACTGCCTCACACCTAGACTATTACCATAGCCTGCTAGTTGATCTCTGTGCCTTTTCCATTTCCAGTCTGTCTTCTACTCAGCTGTCAGACTGATCTTCCAGAAGCCCAAATCTGACCACATCACCCCCATTTAAGAAATTCCAGTGACTCTGTTACTTGCAGGATCAAATATATGCCTTCTGTTTGACTTTTAAAGCCTTTCATAACCTGTCCCCTTCTTGCTCTTATCTTTTTACACCTTACTTCTTGCCATATACTCTACAGTAAAGTGATACTGACCTTCCCATTGTCGCTTCAACAAGACATGCTAGCTACCAACTTCAAGTGTTGTTACTCTGTCTCCCATCCCTGTAATTTTCTCTCTTCTCATTTCTACCTGCTAGCTTCCTTGGTTTCCTTAAAGTCTCAGCTTTTTTCATTCTTCACTTATCTTAACCTTCCTCCTGAGACTGTCCAAGTTATCCTATCTGCATCTTATTTATATTTAGTTGTTTGTCTGTGGTCTTTCCCATCAGACTGTGAGCTCCTAAAGAACAGGCACTTTTCCCCCCTCTTTCTTTGTATCCTCAGTTCTTAGCACAGTTCCTGACTCACTGGTTGACTGACGCCCAAGTTGAGCATTAATTCCACTCTCTAGTGATGCTACTCATCATCAAAGGTGTGGTAGGGTCCTTTTCATAAGAAGTTACAATGCCAGAGGTAAAAGGACAGCATAAGAAGGCAATGAATGGCAGTGAAGTCAGAAAATACACAAGGAAAGGTTATCCTGTATTCTTTTATGAATTCTGTGTTGCTTACCTGGAATTTCTCAGATTATGCATTTAAATCTTTTAAGTGATTTTTTTTAAGGCAGTTGGGGTTAAGTGACTTGCCCAGGGTCACACAGCTACTAAGTGTCTGGTGTTTGGTCTGAGGCCAGATTTGAACTCAGGTCTGACTTCAGGGCCAGTGCTCTATCCACTGTACCACCTAGCTTTCCCTGATTTTTTTTTTTAAACCTTGGAGACACATTGGGCAATTACTTTTTTTTCCTCTCTGGGGAATGAAGAAAGCTTTTATGTTGCATTACTTACTATCAGTTGAGTGCCTGAATGATCATTTATCACTTTGTAGGCAGTGGCAGAAAACTGGATGGTGAGTTAAAAATGTAATTATCTATAGCTTCTTAAAAGTTAGATGACTACATCTATGTGTAGGATAATATATACATCTTTCCACAAGTGCTTCTATCTAAAATGCATGGATTAAATGGTATACAGACTATAACATCTATAACCTTTTGCATTGACTATTTCAAAACTGTGAATTGTTTCTTTGTGCTGGCTATCTCACCTTCAGATAATGCCATTTTTCTAGAATTATTTCTGCATCACTTTTCTTAATGGCATGAAGCCAGTAGGCATGCAACTTCACAACATGCTTTACAAGTTTGTGTTTTTAACCCCAGAATTAACCTTTTTTTAGCCTATAGTTTGGAGAATTGTTAATAATAGAAAAAATGTAATGTTTCTGTAGTGCTATGTATTTAATTACACTAAACTAATTGTAGTATCTAATAAACTGTGGTGACTGTGGTTCCCCTTATTATAGTCTGGGGAAGAAGGGCACAGAAGTTTGAATAGTCTTTGATTGTATTGTTAACTACAGGGATACCTTGCTTAGACTCGTTAATTGGTTACATGAAAATACAACATATCCAAAATGTTATGGGATGGGGGATGTGGATGGCACAGTTCTTTAGTGACAATATTTATGCACCTGTAGTAAAGAGAATGGTGATAGTAAGCATCTGATGATCATGGCAGTTAATCCTGATGAAGCTTGAGTGCTAACTCAAATTGTTACTGACCATTTAACCAAATGACATTACATTGGGGTTTTGAAACTGTTGAAGATGGAGCTTACTTATAATGTATCAATAGCATTCTTGGAAAAGGACATTAGTCGAGGCTATGTTATGCAGAGTATGCCTGTAACATGGGGTGCCTAGAACATATCCAATATAATTCTTATTATCTGACTTACTAGGAATCAACTTTTAAAAGAATAGGGTAAAGCCAGAGACTTTTTAAAAACAGATTTACAATTTTAAAAAATCACATTTAGATTAATTCTTAGTGTCTTGCTATTTAATAGTTTAAAACATTATTTTCTTTTTGAAAACAGAACCCTAATGTTTGCATAGGTCATTTCTGTGGGTAAATAAAGATTTCTTGTGTCTTTGCTTTTGAATCGGCAGCAAAAGATGATGGAAGCATTGCTGTTGCTCTGGGATACACAGCACATTTGGTCTCCATGATTTCCTTCTTCCTTCAAGTGCCCCTCAGATATCCCATAATTCACAAGGGATCCAGATCAGCAATCAAAGACAATATCAATGACAAGTTGACTGAAAAGGAGAGAGAGTAAGTGTCTATTTTTGTCTGCTTTTTGCTCTACACCATAGAGCATATGTGATAAAAACCTTGATCCAGTTATTGGCCATATGTACATGTGGGCTGTTTGTGAATATTACAAATCACCTTCTAGGTTTGTAAGGTGCTTTCCTTTAACATTTCCTCATCGATAGAAAGTAAATGACTTGCCCACAGTCACAGAGTTAGTAAGTGTCGGTTTTGAAGCCAGACCTCTTTGATTCCTGAATACTTCCTCCACTATATCAGTGCTGGCTCTCCTGGTGTGATAGGGGCAAGGCCAGAATTTGAGTTTTGTTTTTCATACTCCAAATTATTTTTGGTGTTTTTATAATAGTTGGGAAATGAGAATTGAGTGACTTATTGGCCAAACTCTTCTAAAAGAATTGTCTTAGAAATATTCCATTTCAATATTGTCTGAATCTTCTGGCTATTGGTATGTATAGTATTAGAGTCCTGAGTCCAAGATGTCTTAGCTCTCCAGTTTTTCTGGTAATGCCTATTTCTTATCCCCCATTGCCTTTGTGAAGTGCCAGTCTAGAATGCTGTCCTGCCTGAAGAATGCCCTCCATACCTGCACACTGTCAAGGGAAACTGTGGAATCTTTTAGATATATCCCTTTGAGGCTTATGACTGTACCACCTGAAGGAATGTCACCAGACCCCAACTGCTAGAGATTTTTCCTCTCCTGAATCCCTGAATTACAGTCATTTATCACACGTTCATTGAGCTTCTACTTTGTGCAATCTCATAGATAAAAGCTGGAAGCTGCTTGAATAATCAGCTAGTCTGTCCACCTCATTTTATAGGTAAAGGCATGGCTGGTAGGGTGGGAGGATTACTAATATGAATAAAGCTCAGACTGTCATCAAAACATTTAAACATTTGGTAACAAAATAAGATTTTACCACATATGTGAATAATAAAAAAGTTAGTAGTATAAATATAATACACAGCAGAGAGAGAAGTGCAAAGAAAAATACCAAGAGAAAGTTCACGAATAGGAAGCATCTTTTCTGATTTGGGAGGTCAAAGAAGAGTTCATAAAGGAAATAGTCTTTGAGGTAGATCTTGAAGGATGTCAGAAATGTTGAAAGGAAGATACTAAGAAATGATGTGAATGCAGCCACAGAATGTAGAAGATATGTTTAGTGGATTACACGTCATACAGTTTGCTTGCAGCTATGCACTGTGAAGGACAATGGTGTAAGGTAAGACTGAAAGCATATGTTAATGTTAAGAGAGTTCCTTTAGGTCCTTTGGCCCACAATGCCTGGAGGCAGTGTAATTTAGTCAAAAGGGACCTAGATTTGGAGTTCAATGCTCAGCACGCCACTAATTACCTGTGTGACCTTGGGCAATAGCAAAAACAGTGAGTGATATTTACAGAGGGTTTCGAGGTTTATGAAATGCTTTAAGTCTGTGAGTTGTATACTACAGGTATTATTCTCATTGTCCAAGTGAGGAAACTGAGTCTCAGAGAGGTTTAGTAATTTGCCCATGATTGCATAATTAGTGTCAGGTGAGAACTGAACCCATGTCTTCCTTATTTCAAATCTGGTTCCTCTGTTTTACCAGGCTGCCACTTCACTTTTCTGGGACTCAATTTCTTCATATAGAAAATGAGGAAATTGGACTTGGGTGGCTTTTGAGGTTTTCCCAGGTCTAACTCTATGATCCTGTCTCAGTCCTCTGTGAATGAGACATGTATGCGCTCTCAGATCTTTCATTGAACTATTGTAAAGAGTAGTGTTTTAGGCTCTTCAGAAACAGAAGCATTGTAAATCACTTTTGCTTGTATTTAGAGTTAACAAAAATCAAGACTTTAAAAAAGACCATAATATTGTGTATTAGTAATAATGTACCTTCTTTCTAGTATTTCTGATTGGGGAGCTGAATGAAGACTTCATAAGGGAAATGGTCTTTGATCCAGGCCTTGAAGATTGACAGAATTTCACCTTAGATTCCTGGTTGAGTTCTGCACACATTAACAGTGGCCTTCTTTTAGAAATTCAGATGTGCTGAGGTTCTTGTCACTTTTGCAGTGTTGCTGTCACTTCTAGCAGACAGAACCAGCAGATGCATTGCTGATCCTTTCAGAAGACCAGAACTCTGGCTTTTAGGAAGTGTAGGGCCTGTTTCCAAGTCTTGGTTTTTAAATCATACAATCCAGCCAGGTCTCTTGAAGTCCAGCTGGTTATAAAGTAGGCAGGCAGCTCCAGTGCAGCTCTGCTGGGTTTTTGCTTCATTGAGCTAATAAAAATGATGCCATTGCCACAGCCTTTCAGAGAAGAACCTGAAGAAAACTGATAATCAGTTGTTTGAAAGCTTTGTTGAGCCTAAGAATTAAGTTGTCCTCTATGCTATTAAGATCAGGCAGTTATGATAGCACAAAGCTCTAAATTAAACTTAGGCTAAAGAAAAAGGATCTGACTGATCCATCTTTTTAGTATTCAAAAATACAGAAGAAATGACTGGTGTTTTTCATAAACATTTACCTTTCCAGTGATAATATAATAAAATGAACGTGGGACTTTTGTAAACCCAATGCTCTGGTAGGTAAGTTGATGTAACTAAGCTAGTCTTCCAGCATTTTGTGGTACATTGAGAGCAGCTGCTGTTCTCAGCCTTTCAAGCACTTAGTCTGCAAGATATATGAGAGGGAGTGGGTGTAAATAAATTGCAGCAAACTCTTAAAAGAAGAAATGAGGTTAAAGGCCAAATTTGTCACAGCATCTTTTGTGGATTCAGTATGATTTCTTTAAAGCACTTGGCAGGATCCCCCTGACCTGACATACCATCAGAACAGAGGTTAAGTGCTTTTTCACCAGGTTCTCATGGTAATTCCCAAGCAGAAGCTTCACTTGGAAGGGGAATGTAATTTGTTACTTTTCTGAATCTCCTTCTAAGAGGCCCACGTCCTGAAATAGCTAACTCTGTTGTCCTAAGATTCATTCTTTTCCTACGCAGTTGTTTTTATAAATAGGGTGGCTCATTTAGATACAGACCCTTTTATTACCATATGCTTTTGCCAAAAGGCTACTATTCATTTCAACTTAACAAACATATATTTACCACCAGCTGAGTGCAAAATGAGTAAATAAAATCCAAATTAGATTACAGATGGAAAAGAGAGGATCAAAGTGCTGTGGAGGAGTAATAAATAATTTCTGTCTTGGAAAGATCATGGCTGGCTTCCTTCTAGAGGTAGCAGCTGAACTGCACCTTGAAAGAAGAGACGGGTTTCAGTAGGGGCCAGGAAAGAGCATTCAGTCAGCAAGAAGGCATTTATTAAACACTGTATATAAGGAACTATGCTGGGCACTGGGGATGTAAAAACAAAGAATGAAGCAAGCTCTGTTATCAAGAAACTTACATTCTAATGGGGGAGGCAATAAACACTTATGAATATGTAACTGAATAAATTTAAAGAGCGTAAGTACAAAGTAGTTGAATAAAGGAGGAGGGGTTCAGAAAATGTTTTATTTAGAACAGTGAGATTCTGTGAGACAGGTTGGGATAGAATTCATTTCGAGTGTGGGGGATGGCCAGGACACAGACACAGAGATAAGAGATAGAGTACAATGTGAGAAAAAGAGAGAAGGCTAATTTAGCTGGATTTCAGAGTATAGGGGAGCAATGTCAACTGAAGCATATAGCTAGGGTATATTCTTCTGTTATCCTTGATATAAAGAGCAGACCATGGGTATGCTCATCTCACTTAATCTCAGTATCTCCATCTATTAAAATGGCAATAGTGCTGCCTCTATTATTACCTCTCTCATGTGGCTTCTTTGAATGTCCAGTACTGGATGGAGGGGATATGGCAAAACAAAACTGGACAAAAGAGAATCGAGGGATTTGAGTGGACTTTGAGTTCAATAGGAGTCAACATTGTATTGTGTTAGGGAAGAGTTAAGTCTTAGACAAGATTAATTGTAGTATAATATACAAAACCTCTGGTGATGAAAGTCCTATGGTACTTTACCCTGGGTAGACCTTACCCAGAATTGTGTGCCCAATTCTAGACACCACATTTTAGAACAGACATTGACAATTTGGATCAAATCCAGAGGAAGATGACAGGTACAAGGAGGGAACTGGCAATCATGTTATACAAGGGTTCTTAACCCAAAGCTCATGAATGTTTGTTTGTTTTTTGTATTTTGGTAACTATTTCAATGTAATTGGTTTTCTTTGTAATTCTACCATTTTTATTTTATACATTTAAAATCATTATTCTGAAAAGGAATTCATCAGAATAGGAAACCCAGAACTTCACTAGACTGCCAAAGGGGTCCATCACACACACACACACACACACACACACACACACACACACACACACGTTTATAACTCCTATTATATGGGGATGATTTGAAGAAACTGTGAATATTTAACATGACAAGATATTATCAAAGACACACTTTTCTTCTAGCTTCCGTGGCAGATGGTTGGTTGCAGGAGAGAGAGGAGAATCTGAACAGAATAGGAAGGACAAAAAAATTGTGTTGGGGATTTGAAGGGCATGGTGAGGAAGAGGTCAGAGATTGAATTTGGGGAGGGGAAATTTGGCAAAATTTGCAGGAGAAAAATCTCCAATCCAGCTGTTGATCTAAATTCTACTTCTAGATTGTGAGAGAATCAGGATTAAGAATGATTAGAGTATATAAACAGATCAAAAGGATCTAGGAAGATTAGAGTTAGTTGACTTCAAGTAAGAAATGGTAATTGGAAGAAATGGAGATTCAATCAAGCCTTTCTTAAGCAACTTTGTTGTTTTTATGTCTGACTCTTCTTGACCCCATTTGGGGTTTTCTTGGCAAATTACTGGAGTGGTTTACCATTTCCTTCTTCAGCTCATTTTACACATGAGGAACTAAAGTAAACAGGATTAAGTGACTTGTCCAGGGTCACACAGCTAGCAAATGTCTGAGGCTCAATTTAAACTCAAGAAGATTCCAAGCCCAGTGCGCTATTCACTGTACCAT